AGTAACTTTTAAACTTGTTTGTATTTCCTTCCAAGTTTTTATATGTACTTTTCAGGATAAATATTCAATATATATGTATATACAAAACTGGGCAAGACTACAATTGCATATGCAATTTTCTATCTCACTCACTACATCAGAAACATTTTTCAGGTCATTAAATATTCTTCAAAAACATGGATTTTAATAGCAATGCAGTTACATCAAACGTGCATGCCGTAACTTCTTTAAACATTTCCTCACTGTTGAATACTTGGGTTATTTCCTTTCTTCCTTCTGTCCTTTCCTTTTTTTTGGCTGTAATTTTTTCCAACATAAATAACATTTTGATAAACATCCTTGACTCACATCTTTGTCCACACTGATGACTCCCCCTACAATAGATTTCTAGAACTAAAGCTATTAATCAAATGACAAACTTTTTCAACTTCTCTTGACTTACAATATCAAATTATTTTCCATCAGCCTTCTCATGGCAATACATGTCATCATTGTGGTTTTTATGTATTTATGTGTTTTTAACTGTTTAGTGAAGCTAGCAGTTTCCTGTTTACGGTAGGTGGCCCATGTTTCTTTTAGCTTATTTTTAGTCTTATATTTATGCAAATAAGGCCAGTTAATTTACTGGTCCAAACAATGATGGGAATAAAGCCACCAACTATGCACCCTTGGTCATAAGGGGGATGGGGAGGTTCACCCTATCATCATTGCCTGAAAAATAATGCACAAAGATCAGATGCTCACCCCATCTATCCAGCTACAAAGACTTGCTTTCTTTGGGTTTTTCCTACAAACCTTGAAAGTGAAAGTTGCTTAGCTGCGTCTGACTCTTTGAGACCTCACGAACTATACAGTCCACGGAATTCTCCAAGCCAAAATACTAGAGTGGGTATAGCCTGTCCCTTCTCCAGGGGATCTTCCTGACCCAGGAATTGAACCAGGATCTCCTGCATTGCAGGAGGATTCTTTACCAGCTGAGCTACCAGGGAAGTCCCCCCTGAGTCTCCCTAAATTGCTACTACACTTCTGAGAATTTTGAGCTGCTGCCCAATACAACTTCTGTGGGACTCCGGTCCCTGACTTAGTTCTCAGTGACTCTCCAGCTCTGGTCCTCCTGCCATCTCCTACATCCCATCCTTTCAGGAATTCAAGGTTTGCCTCTGCTCTCTGAAACCCCTTGAAGTTCCATCCCCAGGGTCCTGCATCTTCTATTGACTGACTGGAATCCATCCAGTGGGGAGGTTTGATTCTCAAAACCAAATATTAGACATTGCAAAGTCACTGATATATATATATATATATGTATGTACACATATATATTATACTGTTCAGTTGCTCAGTGGTGTCCAGCTCTTTGTGATCCCATGGGCTGTAGCACACCAGGCTTCTCTGTCCTTCACCATTTCCCAGAGCTGGCTCAAACTCATGTCCATTGAGTCAGTGATGTCATCCAACCATCTCATTTCCTGTCATCCCCTTCTCTTCCTGCCCTTCAGTCTCTCCCAGCATCAGGGTCTTTTCCAATGAGTCAGCTCTTCGAATCAGGTGGCCAAAGTATTGGAATTTCAGTTTCAGCATCAGTCCTTCCAATGAATATTCAGGGTTGATTTCCTTTAGGATTGATGTCTTTGATCTCCTTGAGGTCCAAGGGACTGGTCATGGTGGAGAGTTCTGACAAAACGTGGTCCACTGAAGAAGGGAATGTCAAACCACTTCAGCGTTCTTGCGAGAACCCCATGAACAGTATGAAAAGGCAAAAAGATACATATGTGTATATATATATATATATATATATATATATATATAGTATTTACAAAAATATTTCTTTATTTGGCTGCACAGGTCTTAGCGGCGGCATGCAGGATCTTTTAGTCGTGGCATGTGGGATCTAGTTTCATGAACAGGGATGGAATCCAGGCCCCCTGTATTAGGAGCACAAAGCCTTAGCCACTGCACCAGGGAAGTCCTTGATATAAATTTTTAATGTTTGTTTGGTTCTGCCAATGAAAGCAACAAATTTTAATAATCATCTGCTGATCTCCCAGCAGTTACTCTGGTGAATACGTCGATTGGAATACTGAAGAGCTGTGTTTCATCCCTTTATCTGGCTTACTAGATTCCTCAGATTTTCAGAGATTTCAGAGATGGTTACAAACATTCTTGAAGGTCTGTGACATGACTGTATCCTCCCATTAATAAACCTTATACTAACAAATATTCCCTCTCATTCCAGCTGTGGGGGCTCTTGAAAAGCCCAGGGGAGGCTTCCTTTCCTGCTTCTGCATCGGAACAGCTGATTTCTTTCTCTCTCGTTTGAGTGAATCTGAAGGCTTCCTTCCTGGGTTTGAGAGGATCAGGGGACTGGGCTAAAGGTGGTGGTGTCTGTGATCATAGGCCCTTGCGAGTACTTCCTCACGGTCATTCACACAGGCTTCACCATTTACCAAATGAAGTATCACGCATCACATGTCATGCATCACCTGCTTTCATGCCTGCCCACAATCCCAGGAGATGGCCATAACTGCAGCTACTCAGGTGTCAGAGAAGGAAGTGGGTCACTGCCCAGACAGGTTCTTGCAGGGAGGTGATCTGAGAGGGAAAAAGGAGAAGTATGAGGAGGGGATGGGCTTCCCTGGTGGCTCAGATGGTAAAGAATTTTGATCCCTGGGTCGGGAAGATCTCCTGGAGAAGGGAATGGCTACCCACTCCAGAGAATCCTGGAGAATCCCATGGACAGAGGAACCTGGTGGGCTACAGTCCATGGGGTCACAGAGTCAGGCATGACTGAGAGACTAACACATGTGAGGATGGGATATGCGAAAGAAAAGAAGAAAACAGTGATGTTCAAAGGAACTCCCACCTAGAAACTCTGGCTGCAAATTCTGGCTCAGTCACTCCATAGCTGTGACCTTGGAAAGCTTTTTTTCTTGGAAAGCTTTTAAATTCTTCTGTGCCTCAGTCTTCTCAGCTGTAAAATGATGACCAGAATATGGCATTGATCTCGCACAAAGGTGACTGTACAGTATGTTTATCACAGCAGGTCCATAAAAGTGGAAAATTGGGAATATCCCACCAGTCCAGTGATTTGTTTTTAAACAAGTAAGATAAACACATGCTATAGGAAAATACCATTTGTTAAGAATGACAATGGATGTTTACAGACAGGAGAAGATATCTGTGACATATTATCAAGTAAAAGTGGTTGTTATTTGGTAGGAATAACATTATGTCATTTTTGTTAATTTTCTTCAAATAATATATTTACATGTATAGTCATTCATCTGGTTAACAATATTTACTTTGCATAGTTTTATTACTATGCATTTATGTGCAGATGTGTGCCTATAAAATGTCCAAGGTTATATACCAAACTGTAATGTCTCTACAGGAGTTCTTTTTCAGATTTGCTTAGCTGGTTATCAAATTCTCTCACAATGAACTTGTGTCATAAAGAAATAGTAGAAGTGCAAAAGGTTTACGACGCAGGAACTGGAACCCTGGTGTCTGCCTGGATCCAGGGGGCAGGCTGCTGATGCCAAGTTCATTTGCAGGTTGCCTGGAGAACGAGGAACCCAAGCAAAGGACTAAGAGGTTTCAAGAGATTTAATGTGGGCTCTAGAGGAGTCAAAAGTCGCCCTCTCCCCTTCTCTTCTCCCCAGTGTGAACTTCTGGGTCTACTTTTCTCCACTGAGCAAACAGCCAGGCACCTACTCCCAGGGGCCCTCCGGGACTTTACAAGGCCCACTCTCCTCTGTTCCAATTTGCTCTTCAGGCAGGCGACATCTCCACCCATCAGGCCAGGCCTTGGTAACCACAGCTGTCACATTCTGGTCTCGTTCCTGAGATGACACCCTGGCCATCCTGGTTGGATGGAGGTGATCCCCAGTCCCAGCTACCCATGAGGACACTGGGCATCTCTGAAGGAATGCTCTCTCCACAGCCAGTTCATTACATTTCAGGTATGGTGACTCACTCAAGTTTCAACCCTTCACATAAATATCATTTCCCGTCACTCCCTGACACATAATGACAATGAATAAAAGCTATCATGTATCGGAGCTTATGTTCCAGATGCTGAGCTGGGCTCGGGCTTTTTTTAAGCCTCACAGAAACCCTGTGAGTCAGTTGTTTTGACCCCATTTCACAGATGAGAAAACTTACATTCAGAGAGGTCAACTGGCCCAGGAATATGCAGCAAGTCAACCTGGACCCTTAAACATAAAACACTGCTTCTGCGGCCCATAGGTCTTCTTGGTGGTTTAGTCGCTCAGTTGCATCCAACTTTTCAGACCCCATGGACTGAAGCCCACCAGCCTCCTTTGTTCCATGGGATTTCCCAGGCAAGAAAACTGGAGTGGGTTGCCATTTCCTTCTCCAAAGGATCATCCCAATCCAGGGATCGAACCCAGACAGACCCAGGCAGTCCCCTGCATTGCAGGAGAATTCTTTCTGACTGAGCCTCCAGGGAAGCCCATAGGTCTTCTTATCCTCATCTTATAAAGATGGAAACTAAGGCTATTAACTACCCAAGTTCATGATGCGAGCAAGTGGGAGAGGCAAAAAATTTTAAATCTCCCTGCTATCCTGCCCCTCCCCGACTCGTGCTCGAATACCCATGTGTCCCTGCTCTGCCGCTGTACTCTTCACTGCAGCCAATATTTGTGGAGGTTCCAAGAACCCAGAAGAATGTGCTCTCTTGCCTTGGCACCTTCAGAGAGGATGTGCCATCACATGCATTTACCTAGACATCTAGACATAATTTCCTCCAGGAGCCATCCCTGAGCACCCTAGTCCAAGCACCCCTTTTCTAGGTGCTTCCTTGAGTCGTCCTTACGGGTAACATGCGGCACTGTGGTTGCCTGTCTTCTTGTTTCTTCCCCTGCCAGTCTAAAGCCTAAGTGACAACCACAGCCACTGATGGTTGTTAGATCCTTAGCACCCAGCTTGGAGTGGGCACACAGTAGGTATTCACTAAGCATGGGTAACCCGAATGCTCCACCATCAGTGCTGTTTGTTTTATTTGGAGGAAATAATTTAGGTGCACTAAGCAGAATCTAAGATGACAGAAATGTGGCTCCCTGGACACCCCATTAAGAGGGCAGAATGGGTGGGGGATGGATGCTCTGGGGTCATCCAGGGCTCAGTGCGGTGACATTAAAAACCACCGAGTCCTCCTTGCTAAAGCAAGTCCCAGGCTACTGTTTTCTCACTCCCCGTCAGAAACAAATCATGTTCTGAGTGACTGGAGTCATTGCTCACAGCACCGGGAGCTGGTTTAGGGTGGGGTGAGGGGCAGTGGCCTTGGGGCTCCAGTGTCTAAAGGCCCAGGCCTGCGGGCTGGGGGGAGGGGTGCAGAGTGGCAGGTCCTGTGTGTGTGAGTGGGGGGCGGGGGGGAGACAATGGGGCTCTGCATCTGCTCCTCCCTGGGAGAAGGGACCCTCCAGTGAAAAGCCAGGGAGAGCAGGGAAGTGTGGGAGGAATTGATGAGGAGAAGGGGTGGAGCCAAGGAGACGCAGCCGGGAGGAAGGAAGAGAAGGGGAAGGAAGAGCGGAGGGAGGGGAGAGGATCCAGGCTCTCCTTCCTCTCGGTGACTTGGTCCGGAGCCGCAGCCTCCTCTCGCATTGTTTCCTGCGGAAACGTGGGGGGCCCATGGAGACTCACGCTTCTCCCCAGCCCCTGGCAGCAGCCCCCAGTCCAAGGGCCAGGCATCCAGCAGGTGCTCAATACTTAGTTGGGCAAAAGAGACATGTGGCCCAAGTTTGCTCTGGGAACTTTTCCCCTCCCTTCTCCCCACTTTTCTGGAGAAGGCAGAGCAGGTTTTTGGGAACACGCCCAGGAGCCCCATGAATAATTGACCCTTCGTGGGGTCTCTGCCGCGTTCGGTCCGAGGGCTCGGAGTGGAGAAGCGTCTGGACGTTAGAGGCCAGTCGGGAGCCAGGGGAAGGCAAGGCTGCGCCAAGCCCCGCGGCCCTGCAGGGAGGAGCCGGGGGCCCGACCCCCGCACGGCCAACGGCCACGCCTCGGCGCCCCCCAGCAGCGCGCCCGTGGGGCGGAGGCCCAGGCTCTGGGTTGGGCGAGCCTGCGGGGGCCCGATCCCAGCGGCTCCTCCGAGCCCCTTCCCCACCCCGGCCCAGGCGCTCGCAGTACGCCCCGCTCCCTCGAGTCTGGACGTCCAGGGCTCTGCAAACAGCTGTTCAAAGGCTTTTTACAGTTCAGTGCTCTGCGGGGATGTTTGTTCCAAGCCCATCTGCCTACTTTAAAAATATATAAGTGAAGAACACACCCAACCTTCCACCTCTGGCTGGGGAGGGACGGGCTCGGCGGCCCCCGCCCGCACTTCGGAAGGAACCCGCACCCAGCACCCGCGGCAGCGTTCCCCCCACCCCCACCGACTCTCCTCTCGGGAGGACGTCCCATGCTTCCCACGGGGGAGGGGGGCGTCCCCTAGGCCCCCTTTGTGCCAGGCAGGACCGGGCCCCCCATTTCCATGCGAGGTTCTTATGCTCCCCCTCTCCCCCGCTTCTGTTAATCTTTGTTCCCCTTTTCTGCTGAGAGGAGAAAAAAAAAGAGAAAGAAAAGGAGGAAAAAAAGGCGTGACTTGATTCTCAACGAAACTCCCACAGCAAACAAAACCCTTTTAGAGAAATAAGAAAGGAGGAAGAAGGAAGAAAAGAGGGAAGGAAAAAAGAAAGAAAGAAAGGAGAGAGAAACCCCTCCAGGCTTTCAATTTGAGTGGGAGAGTTGAACCGAAAGAAAGAGAAAGAAAGGAAGAAAAACCCTCTCTGCGGTAGAAAGAGAAAAGAAAACTTGGGCTGACAAGAGGGGGGTGTTGGGGGGGGTGGAAGGAAGTGAGAAAACAAAAGAGAGATAAAAGGGCTGCTTTTCTGTCTTTCTCTTCCTCCGCGAGCTGGGTTAGGAGGAGCTGTTTTGCATCCCTTCACGTCAGCCCTGCCTCATTCCCTTCTTCCAGGGAGGGAGAGAGAGCGAGCGAGCGAGAGAGGGAGAGAGAGAGAGAGGAGAGGGAGAGAGAGGGGGAGAGAGAGAGAGAAAGAGAGGAGCCGACTCGGCAGGGACTGGGGGACCGGGCCGGGAGAACGAGCGAGGGAGGGAGCGAGTGAGCCAGCGTGCAGCCAGGAGAGGAAGGGCGGCCACTTGTGCCNGCTGTCGGGGGGCGCCCCCCCCACCCCGGCTGCCGCGCGCCCCCCACGCCGGGGACCTGTTGAAGGCGCTCCGCCGTCCGGCCGGGTGTCCACGGCTCTCCTTGGTCGGTCTCGGTTCCCCTTCCTCGTCGCCCACCCTTCTCCGTCTCCTCGCGGTCATTTTCCTAATTGGACAGAGCCGTGGGGTGTGATCGCTGGCGTCAGATTGGGGGCCCCCCGAGGCTGCCAGGTGGGCGCGGGGGACTCAGGGACCGACGGGACAGCCCCAGCGTACGGAGCCCACAGATCCGGCCCTGGTGCCACCGCCCCCCTAACCGCGGACTTGCTAACTAGTGCGTATCGGGTGTTTTTTTTTTTTTTCCAACTTGCCTTTTAAGATGACTTTTATGGTCGCTGCAACTGCTTCCCTTCACTCTGTGCTGTAGTTTGGGAAGATTTAAGAGGCCAGGGAGGTGCTTGCGTGGGTTTTAACTAACCCAAAGCGATCATTAATGTATCTCTTAGCTCTGCGAGGGATCGGGCAAGGCGTACTCGGAGCCCGGGTGCGTTTTCACAGGGTCACTACGAGGTGCTGGTCCTTTCCCGGTCTGAGCGGTCCAATGAGGGACCCTCCTGGAGGCCCACCCTAGAGCTGCGGGCCGAGCGCCCTAAGTGCTAAGGGCACCCAGAACGCCTTGATTTCTGCGCAAAATGGAAACTCCCAGCCGGTGCAGACCTGGAGGGGATATAGCCAGTTCTGGAGGGCGCCAGGGAAACTCACAAGATTACCCCACAGGTGTGCGGAGAGGGACTTTGAACTGTGGGGGTCAGCCAGCCAACTTCGAAGCTGCTCTTTCAGTGCTGCCTTTGTACACGTGTAAGTAAAACAGTCAAAGTTCATTTCTGCCAAGCAGAGGGCCTGGAGCCTGCATCCCTGCTTTTGCCCTGAGACCCGGGGCCTTCAAAGGACCCGCCGGACCAGGTGGGGGAGGGGAGGTGAACCGCCCCTAATTGTCTTTAGACTTTAGAAAAGGCATTCTTAGTGTTTGTGATCAAAGCCATGGGCCTGTCCGGTTTTGATTTTTGAGACTTAAGGTAGTATGGAAGTCCCTTTCTCGTTTGTTTTAAAGCTAATATTATTCTCAAGGACTTTGGTGGTGGTTCTGTCAGCTGGCCCTCCAGCCACACATCACTGTGTGCCAGGCACCTGCCAGGCTGGGAACAGGACCTCTGATCGGTCACCTGTAGCTCTAGTGACTCTAGTGTTCCAGTAACCTGCAGGAGCTGGCCTTCTTGCTTGAGGGCAGTGGGGGTACAGCTGCTCTCTTTGAGGTAGGGTGAGTTGGCCATTTGGGTCATGTTTTTCTTTCCTCCAGGCTTGCCTGGTTGCCTGTATGCCCATGGAGGGAGAGGCAGTGAGTTGAAGTGGGAACAGAGGTTCCTGCTTCTCAGAGATTTCTGGGTGAGTCCTTGACCTGTGGTGTGTGGCCATTGGGCCATTTCTTCTGTACTTGAGGTACTTCCATTCCAACCAGGCATTTTCTACCAGGGAGACTTATTTTAGGCTCTCCGTCTGGAGAAAAGGAGACGGACAAGGTCTGGCATGGTTTTTGAGTTGGAGGAAGGGAGACTAATGGGCCCACCAGAGATTTTGCATACCTTCTATTTTAGGTTTTCCTTGTGGCCCAGGGATATTTCTACCAGAGTTGTGCTTGGAAAGCTCAGGTTTGAAGTTGGAAGGGAGTAAATAAACAAAGGAGGAGTCAGCGCATCTCAGGATGCTGTTTACAGGCTCCTCATCTGGCTCACTCAGCCAGGGATCTGAGGGTGGGGGCTCATCTTGTTGAATTAAGGAATCTGCTGAGTCTCCTGTTAATGGTGGTGGATCCTAGCCCTTAAACTGCAAAACTGGAAGAGGACCTTAGAGCTTGTCTGAAAGATAGAAACAAGAGAAGAACTTTATGCCTGAAATCACGCAGTAATTGACAGAGCCAGCACTCAAACACAGGCTTTCAGAGTCCATTTCCAATGATCTCTCTCTTTTAATATGTATTTATTTATTGGGCTGCACCCGGTCTTAGTTGTGGCATGTTGTATCTAGTTTCCTGACCAGGGATTGAACCCAGGACCCTGCATTGGGGGTGTGGAGTCAGTTACCGAACCACCAGGGAAGTAAGTCCCACAACGGCTCTTAACACAAAGCTGCTGCCGGTGTGCCTGCTGGGGCACCTGAGTCAGGCTCTACCCAAAGAATGTGGCAGTGAGAACATGAAAACCTGAGATACGCTCATGACAGAAGTAAATGAAGGACCTTATTTTCCGGTTGTGTTCCGCATACTGTTCTGGAGGATTTGACGGCTGGTGTGACTACGTGGGGAAACCGGGTGTTTCGGGGTGTTTTAACACGAACTTCTTCAAAGTCTGCCAGTTCAGCGGGGCAGCAGTTTAGTCATCGGCTTGTGCCTAAGTCCCACTGAGCATTTTTTGATCTGGAATTCTTTCTTCCTGCTTTGTACCTCTGTGTGATTTATTTAGGCATGGTCTGGGAGAAGAATGGGGATGGAAAGGAAAGGCCAGAGACCCAAACTGGTATCTCTTCGTGGGTTACATCTCTTACTACCTTCAGTTCATGAGGTCTTCGTGATTCATTGCTAATGATCACATGTGCCTAGAACAGGGCCCGGCACAGAGTGGACCCTCCATAAATTCTTGTTGAATAAATGCACTGGGTGTTAGGAAAAAGAGTTCCCTCCCAAAAGGGACCCACAAATGACAGATGGAGGCAGAGATAGGGAGGTAATTGATGGGAGCTGCAGAGTTTTGCCGTGAGTCACGGCTTGGAACAAGCTCCAGACAGGTAAGGCAGGAGGGGCTGGGAAGAGCAAATCTCACGAGGGGTGGAGCCACTGGGTGGAGACTTGTGAAACAATAGATCTTGAATTGGACTGGATATGGGGAGGATAATAACCGTAGATCTTGGGCCAGGCTTGTGTAAGTGTTCTATGTATATCGTCTCCCTTAAGAGTCCTCACAGGTGCTAGTTGCTGCCTGCATGCTGAGTTGCTCAGTCATGTCTGACTCTTGACGACCCTGTGGACCGTTGCCCACCAGGCCCCTCTGTCCATGGGATTCTCCAGGCAAGAATACTGAAGTGGATTACCATTTCCTCCTCCAGGGGTTCTTCCGACCCAGGGATTGAACTGCCTGAATTGACAGGCGGGTTCTTTACCACTGCCTGGTTTTTCCCATTTGGCAGATTGGGGAGTTGAAGCACAGAGGAGCCAGTAACTCATTCAAGGGCACAGAGCTGGTGGTTCTGAACTCAAGCAGACTGACTTCAGACTTGGCTGCCCTAGAATGATGATGAATTTAGATATTTCTGCCCACGTCAAGGAGCTGGGCATTCAGAGCTTTGGGGTTGCTAGAAAGGACAGCAACAGAAAAATTGGAAAAGAAACTCTTTGTCTGGAATGCAGTGAGGCTGGTCAGGGAGATGGCCCTCTGCTTCCTTTGCCAAGGCCCTCAAGGTGTCTGAAGAGTGTAAGAGGTTTTATTTATTTATTTATTTTTAAAAAATATTTATTTGGCTGCTCTGGGTCTCAGTTGGCATGTGAACTCTTACTTGCTGCTTGTGGGATCTAGTTCCCTGACCAGGGGTCGAACCCTGGCCCTCGCACTGGGGGTGCTGAATCTTAGCCATTGGACCACCAGGGAAGTCCCCTGTAATGGAATATTTATTTTGGGGACCTAACTATTTCCCAGGCACAGTGGCTAGTACCAGATTGAGTCTGTTTTGCACTTGATAATTTAGGAGA